CGCGATGGGAAACAAATGAAAGCTGCGAGCGTAACGACTAGTAAATCGGATGTCCCTCCTCCCACTTCTGGACCTCCTTCGTATCCTTGGATGCGGACAGTGGGCTGCTACCCATGCCGAGACTGAACCTGCCACTCTCGCGCTTCTCAGGGCTCCGTCCGTCGTCGATGCGCTTCACAGGGCCGACCCATTCCCACATGCGAGCAACGTCACCACTCGCTGTGGCTCGGACACCTGCACGGATGTTGCTGTTCTTTTCGACCTTCGTCTGCACCCTTGTCCATAGCTTCTGTCGGCGAGATGCGTTGAACTCAGTCCTCAAGACGTCATCTCGCAGTTGTGTCATACTGATACCCTTCTCCGCGCCAGGGTCATAGTAGCTCAACGCGGCCTGGTCCTGGAGTCTATCGTATGCGTCGCTTGCGAGTTGCTTCGCGCGAACTTCCATTGCTCGGTTACTGGTGTATGCGTACTTTCCGTACGATCCAGTGGCAATCAGAATGAGCATCGTTACAATTTGGAGAAGATGTCGTTCAAAAGATTCTCGGAGGGATCTTCGGACGCTGCAGGAGAGGGAGAGCTTGGCGAGGGAGGTGGATGCGAGACGTCGTCCGCCTGTTGTTCTGTTTCCAAGGAAGAGTAACTGATTAGTACAATTCCACGTCAGATATGTTGCACAAGTGGTTGGAGAACTGGAAAGGAAGTACTTACCCATCGGTGCTTTCGACTATCTCCTCTCGCATAGTCAATTCAGGAAAGGCTCTGTCGAACAGCTCACTGAACTCCTGGTCTGTCAAGCTCTTGCTCTTTTGAGAAGCCATCTGCTGCTTCAGATCTCCTTCGCTAACTTCAGGGCTTTCCACTGGATTCCCTGCCGCATCTGGTTCCCCACACTCATACTGGGCCTTGCGCTGTCGCAGAATCTCCACTGCCTTGTTCGCGATACCATTCACCTTCCGCGTCTTCTCGCTGTCTGGCTCACACGTCGGAGGGAGAGGAACCAGGCCACCGAGTGACAGCGGATGGTCCTTCATAATGAAATCGGGATCGCACCTCAGAGTCAACCCGCGGAAACACTGCGCGTGTGGTGGGCAGGGCTCACACTGCGGGAGGAGCTGGTCTGCCCAGCTCGGTAGCTCCATACCACCAAGTCCAGTAGCATCTCGTCCGATGCCACAAAAGCCAACATCGATCTTTTCCTGTCGCCAGACGCCAGCGAAAGCGGCTGATGCTGTGAGGAGTAGAGTTCCGGCCATTGCTTTGATCGTACCAGTGGCTTTGCCCTTTTGCCTCCGTCTGCGTGGAGGCAGAATGTCGACTTCGCCAGCCTTTGCACGCTCGCGCACTAGTTCAAGTTGCTCCTCTGGAGTGAACTCCTCGCCGGCATCTGCAAGATCGTCTTCCTGATGCTGTGTACGTGGGTCCGCCACATCAAACGTTCCACGTGTAGGTACCATGATGCCCTCGTCTAGTTGTTCAGCCTTGGGTTGGACGGTCCTCCGGCGGTGCGCATCGCTCTTGCGCCGCTCCTGCTGACCAAATCCAGTAGTTCTCCTACGCCGGTCGCGCGATATGGTATCTGGTACTGCAGGAGAGCTTCCGCTTTGGAACGGGTTTTCCTGGGTGAAGGGGCTGGCAGCGTCGTTGCGATGCCATGCTTCAGGCTCAGGCGTGGGCTCTTTGGGTGCAGGAGTGACACTCTTGCGTGTACGCCTAGCTGCAGGCCTCTCATCCACCTCGGGCTCAAACGCTCTGCTGTGTTTGGCAGGGACAGCGCGCGCGGGTGTCTTGGCGCGTGGTGCCGGCACCTCTGCCTCCTCTGTTGGCTCGCGGGTGGTTCGGCGGGTTGTGCGTCGTGTCTTCGCAGGCGTAGGTGCTATGAGTGTTTCGTCCTCGGCGTCGTCTGTCTCGACCGTACTGGCTGAACTGGAGGGGACGTCTACGATGCCCCGCGTCGATCGCTTCGTGTGTGCCTGCATCCGCTGGACTTTGGACTTCTGAGGGAGGACCAGGTCGACGAACATGCCAACCAGAGCGGGCTTCTTTGCCGAGGACGGATATGTGACGCCATGTCTCAGCAAGATGCTCCTCAGCTCCGGGACTGTTATCTTGCTGGGGTCGACGCCATCTTCATAGTACCAGTACTCTCCGCGCGCGTCAGCCATGTCGATGTGGTGGGGTCCTTTTTTGTCGCGGAATTAAGTTTACGGTTGAGCGGGGCCGGCGACTGAGACAGTTGTAGGGCGGACGTGAGACAGGCGTGGGTTGGCTCGTGTGGTCGCTGTGATGGGCGATAGGCAGACTTGGGAAAGTCTGCGCAGCTTGTTTGTGATGTCACCGAGGCAACTGCGGGCCCGTGCGCTGGCCGCGGCTGCTTTCATCTCGTTCACCTCTTTCATTCGCTTTCACACGACAAACATCACAGGTGCCGATGAAACAAACAAGAATTGTGAACGACGAATCATATACAAGTCGCCTAACCTTCTACGCATGCGAATAAGTCAAATATTACTACAAAACAAGACCCTGTGGAGGCTACATCAACAGCTATGAAGACACACTCATCGCGAGTTTACATTGGTCACCTGCAAAGGACGGCATCACCGATGCGAATTACATGAACGAGGTACATGAATGCTTATAATTGCTCATCGATCCGCATCTTCTCGCGGGTTGTTTAGAGTAGACATGATCTGATGAAAAGTTCCGTTATAGTCCCTCCGCTACCCACTTCCTTATCGCCGCTCTCCATATCGGCGCAAGATCCTCCCCTTTATCGTTGAAGTGAGTTCCTGTGCGTACGGAGACTTCCTCCGATTCTAGGATATCTTCCATGGGGAAGAAGTGCAAATTATCCGCCCGTAAACTCTCATGTAATGGTTGCGACGTCCCGCCCTTTATATCAAATTTGTTCCACCCTCTCACGATCTCCAACCCTTTTTCTATGACTGGTCTGGTGTTCGGTTCCATAGGCCAGAGTTCGGTCCTTGAGTCACCTAAGAGATGCTCTGATAAGGCAACCCCAAGTGCGATTACCATGAGAGGATCGACAGGTCCATTAGAGGCTGTCTTCAGCACTTTGGCGCTGAACATTGACCATTTGTGTTCCACGGTAATATATGGCATCTGTCTGCACAGTTTCGCTAGTCGACACATGTTGGCTTGGTTGTCGATCTGTTTGAGGACCTTTTTGCCTGGATTATTCCTTTGCGTCAAGTACTCGTTCACATCAGCGTCGGTATTTTGCAGAGCCACATTTCGGAGCCATTTGTGTTTCTCTTCTGGAAGAGATGCGAGAAGCGCAAAGAATTGTTCGGTGGCAGTGGTCTTGCCTTCGGCCCGGGTAGAGATCGTGATGGTAGTATTGAACTTCAACTCAAGGTGTGCGCACTCCTGGTGTAGCTGTTTGTTGACATACTGTAGCTGATTGAGCTGTTTGTGGCCGGAGGTGTCGTTTGTCGTGTACTTTAGCGTTGCGTCTGGTGTGGTTAGGACGTATTCGTAGATAACGTTCCGGAGCTCGGGAGGAAGAAGGAAGAGGCGGCTCTTGGTCGCTGGTTTTACAGCTTCCGGTTTCGACATAAACGACCAGATGAAATCTGAAAACATGTTCGACCTAATTGGCATGCTTTCCGCGTTGGTAGAAGATTTGGGGAGCAGATTACGTTGGTAGGGGTTGAGTGATTGGTGGATTCGTGAGTATTTGTAGATCAAGAAGAGTTGTGATGTGGTTGTTATGTAGAAGGGAGGAAGCCCTTGTATATGTAGTAGAGGGTTACAAATAGTGAACGCTCGTGAGTGAAACTCGCGATCGATACGATCCGGCCCAACAGTGTTGTCAACGTGAGGCTAACCACTTCAACAGAGGCAAAGCGCGATCCAGAGCGTTTCAATTTACGAGAGAGTACTCACTCGATCGTATCGCGAATGAGTTGAATGCAGTGACCTTTTTCACCTGGAGTACCTAGTGGCTCGTCCCTTTAAAGCATCCTACTCCCACCCCCCGAGTGCTCCTCTCCTCTCCGAGCAGAATCTAAACCCACCCATGTTTTACAGAAGTCTGCGTCTGGTACTTAATTTCGACTCGAAGACGTTACTCTAGTTTACCCAGCAGAAGTACGGTACAAGCAGACAAGCAGACGAACTTAACAACATGTCCACGGAATCGCCCCTGCTCAAACTCCCCGGTGAATTACGAAACAGTAAGTCAGAGCTCTGGAGTCATTTATCATTGCCACTTCGACGATGATCGATGCACTGGTCATGCGCTAACTATGATGTTCCAGAAATATACGAGCTCGCGCTCTCTTCACCAACTCCGCTCTATCTTCACTCGCCGGAAGCACCCCGGCAGGTTGTGCGGCACTCGGAAAATCTCGGTGCACTCGAAACACCGTCTCCTGTCAAGCGCTACGTTGAGTTCAACATGCTCAAGTATGCGAACAGGCAACTTTACTCGGAGACTGCGGGCTTGGACTTCAAGTACAACAGCTTCAAGATTAAGCTTGGGCGTCCGAAGCCTGCACAAGATGGACAAGACACCGAGATCTTGCGAGGTCCGAGAGTTTGTAAGGCATCTCAGGTTAAGTTCGATAGGGGCTATTTGGATGACTTTAGCAAGAGCGCATCGTCTCAGGGACAGCGCCTCAAGATCATTTGGCAGCATGCTATAGATCTCTGGGAAGATGCATGGTGGAATCCTGGTTGCCGGGAAGGTCCGGGATATCGAGTAGAGAACGAAGACAAAGAATCGAGAATGGTGCGACGCCACCTCGAGAGCCTTTTCCAGTAGAAATAGGTAACCAATGAGGCTTTTCCGAATAGTCTAAACCTCCGTTTTCCTCTACAGCCTGCTATCTCGTAGGCGTTTATTACTTGAGGCTTGAAGGGTGAAAAGTTCCGGGGCGCGATTGTAGCTTCGTGTTGCTTTAGTTGCTCTACCTCTGAAAGCTCTCATACTTCACCATAGCTATCTACTTCTCTACCCCCTGTACAGCTATCTACCTCTCTACCCCCTGTACAGCCCTCGGAATCACATACCCGGCCCATTTCTCCTTGCTATCAGCCTCTCTCCATACATCCATTCCACCTGCAACTCCATTCTCATCAATTTGCCAATCGCCTCTCTCCACCATACCCGTCCAGCTCTTCAACACATCGACAAGACTATGATCATGCGGCTCCTCAAGCGGCTGATATCCAGGACGATACATATCTACATGGCTGTCTTCACCATCCTCTTTTCCCCCGAACTTGCTGCCATCAGTCCTCCTTGCATACCCATTTGCTCCAATACCAAAAGGTAAAATCAACCTACATTCGTCCTCGGCTGTCGTCTCCCAATGTGGGAGAAGGTATAGACCCGCAGTATGAGTTTTAATACGGTCGAATCCAGGGAATGGATTGTCTATTTCTTCGCCAGTGACAGTGTTGGGATTGAAGCGAAATAGAAGGATAGGAGGCCGGTCGGAGGTAGACGAGAGATAAGAACCGAATGGCTGATCGGAGAATATGGAGGTAGTTACTTCGAGACCTGGGGCTATGTTTCGGAAGCGTGGGCGTCGTGCCTGTCGGAGGAAATCGTAGGTGAAGTTGTGGGGAAGACTCATGCTTTGAAGTATGCTCTCTTCGACCAGCCCATGTACAACTTGTTCAGCTTCTGCGTGCTCGGCTGTGGAAGGCATCCGAGTTTCGATAGTTTCTACTAGACGATTGAAAGCCTCCACATTCTCTTCCAGCATGGATTTGCTGTACGGGATAAACTCCCAAGGGTCGTAGCGCTCATTGCCAGATTTTTCGTGTATAGCTTTGGGCGCAGCAACGATCTTCCCTTTCCGAATCTGGCCCAGCCAGAACTCCAGAGCGGTTTCCAATGGGTACCACACTTTCTGTTCAAAGACCTCATCTGCGTCATGGATGCTTGGGCTCAAGATACAGAGGTTCGCTTCTTGATCATATCTGTACGACAAGATTAGTACATTCCGGACCAAGACAGTATGCGGCTGTCTGATTCAACTTACACCAGTCCGCACCAGTGACCCGAGAAGTTGTTCATCTCGTAGAGAACCAAAAGATTGCCATCTTCTCCATCGTCTGACCAATCTTCCGCTTGCTCAAACATGAAGTTTGGCGAAGCGAGATTTTGTAGCCAGTAGAAGAAGGATAGATCGACTACACTTTCAGAATAACCAATGAGTCGAGCTTCTTGGAGAAAACGAACAAGATCAGGCGAAAGCTGGGGACGAACAGCCTCGGCATCATCGCCAAAAGTGTCGAACCATGTCTTGCAGGTGGCTTCGAGAGACTCTGGACTGCGACCTGAGCTGACCCAACCGTGGCGCAGTATTTCGTTGTGTAGCGCGATGCATCTTTCGACATTCATGATCAGCAGTTAATATGAGACAGCGAGGGCGGAAGCTCATGGCGCGATTGGGAACGACATCCATCGTAGCGCAGTCTTTGCTGTGCCTCAGTCCATGTGGGGTGTAAGAGGCCACCGTGTGCACGACGGCATGAGACTAACAGACACTAATCCCTGAGCGGCTAGTACCAACCGCGGTGTTATGAAAGGGAGCCCTTCGCGCTGCAAACAACTCTGAAATGCTTTTCAAACGCCAGGTAAAGTCTCGTTGATTCTCCAGCGATGAATCGAAGTGCCTAAGGCTGGTGACATGACTCGCGTTCCATCCAGCCCTCATAGGCGCAGCTCGGAAAATCAACTTCGAAAAGACCAGGCCACTTCCTTAGCGTCCTCTCCCCAAGCGGGAAGCCGCATCTCCGCTTACACCTGGATCGCAGCTGCTGCGGTTCTTCTTGCAGCTATCGCCGCGCAGTACTTTCTCGAGCCTCTCAACTTGGTTGAAGTCTGGTACTAGATTGAATCACTCCATGCGACGTCTACAGCTGCTAGGTCATCCGGACCAGTCGTCATATGTTACTCACTAGCTACTAGTAGGAAAGCCTTGGAACTGAATATGGGTGAGAGATCCGAAAGACTGGAAAGCTATTTCGGTGTGGTTGACAGCCTCTTCTTGCGAGACTTCTTGCGGCGATAGGCATCGAGGCGTTGGCGTTCTTCTTCTCGGTCCCCTTGGTAGATCTCGGAAGATGCGGCACGGCAAGTGCGCCCGCGCCGCAACCAATGTCATGCCAAAGGCATCCATTCACATATCTCAAGAAACAGTTGCACGTAGCGACAGACCTTGAGTTCATGTCACCATGCGAAATTGCTGACAGACTCGCCATTCGAAGCTTTCTAGCTCGCACTAGTTGTGGGGTAGGCCTCGGCTTAATGTAGCTTAATCTCGACACCCTGCCAGATCGGCCTTCCTCCATTAACAAGCCCGCCATCATCTCGTACCTGTATGGACTTAACTCGCCGGCATCGAACCATGTGCCGCGGACGCGGTGACGAAAACCGGGTCGCCATTTCCGCGTCTGGCTGAGACAAGGCGCAATGTGTCCCGGACCGTTTGGCCGTTACTAGGTCCACAACTATATGTGAAAAGGCGGCGAAAACATATAGATTGATTGAGAACAGTGGTCACGCAGCGCACATTGAGTACATACTCAATGTAGAATGCCGGACATGTGCCTTTTCCCCGATATTGATGTGCAGCGCTCTAAGCACGAAATGGACGCCTCGCCTCCAGATTCGGGTCGAGATACTTTAAGCATTGGCTTGAGGCGGTCTTTATATAGCATCGTGAAGACCTCGAATGCTGGCATTTCAACTGCCAATTATTACAGTCTCTCAAAACAGGGACCTTTTGAGTTTCAATCGTCAACATGTTCGGAAAGGCAGCTATCGTCAACGCGCTCGTGAGCGCCGTGTCGGCAGGTTTGCTGACCCTCACCTTGCATGTTACATTCCATTGACGAGAGATAGGCACGATCCTGTGGGATGGTCGCTTCAACGACATGACCACTTCCTCCGATCTGGACAAATGGTCATGGGCAAATCAAGTGGGCAGTAAGTGCTGCAGTCAAGCTACACAGCGAACACAGCTGACGTTCGCCTCTCTCTGCCAGACTACCAGTACTATATCCACGGCTCAGGCGCCACCACCAAATACGTAAACCTGTCACCGAACTACAAGAACTCTGGCGACACTGGCAGCAAGCAAGGTGCAAAGATCACGATCGATAACACGGCTAAGTGGAACAGCGACATGTGGAGGACTGAGCTCATTCCCCAGACGAAGGCTGCTATCAACCAGGGCACGGTATACTACCATTTCTCGATCAAGAGGTCTACTACCAACGTTCCAAGTGCGACGAATGAACACCAGATCTGTTTTTTCGAGAGCCATTTCACAGAACTGAAGTACGGATGGGTCAACGGAGAGTCTGGCACTAGCAACACCAACTTGTGAGCTGACCCAAATATATGAACTCAATTCGGGGATGATGCTAACCCAAACGCAGGCAATGGATGGTGGGCGGCCAGAGCAAGTGGAAGGTCGAACTCAAGGCGGACGAGTGGCACAACGTAGCTTACGAGATCAACTTCTCCTCCGTAAGTCGCAATCATTTATAAAGTGACCTTGAGCACATACTGACTTTCAATACCATCCCTTAGAACCAAGTCACCTTCTGGCACTCTACCGGCAACAGCACGCTCACCAAGACTGCCGGGCCTTTCTCCACCAGCACTTCTTCCAACGGCGCCGACTGGCATCTTGGTGTCCTTCGTCTGCCCCGCCAGGGTAACGATGGAACGGGCGCCGAAGATTGGTTCTTCTCTGGGACTTACATTGAGAGCGGCCCGCTCACAACGTCCGTTGCTAGCCCCGCAGCATGAACGCATTTGACTTCGTGACTGTAGATTCGGAACACATGTATATATTGTCGCAGTTTGCACTTGGAACGTAGCATTGTAGAGCTGGAATCATATCATCTTAGTCCGGGAGCTATTAGATCCAGAACATTAAAAACTACGCTGTCAATTCCTCCTTCCGCCTTTGTATACTCATCGCAACGACGAGATCGACCACTTCCGCCCAATTCCATCTTCTTCGCAGGAAAGTCAAGCTACAGCCTTGTCCAAGCCTCTATCTCTGGAAAACACCTTGAAATTTACTAGTAGCGGGTCCATTCTGATGATCATGGCATTCTGCTCGTACAAAAGCGCTCTTGGTACTACCAACTGAAGACAATGTTCGGCGTCCCACTTGCTGCACGAGTAGCGAGAGAATAAAATTCCGCCCAGCCTCCAGTGCCCCTGCTATGACACTCTATCAGAAAGCGGGGATGCATTTCTGCGTCGATTTGGAGACCATATAGATCCTCAAAGCGGTAATCTGTGACTTGCTGGTGGATCTTTTGGATCCATAGTCTTCTCTTTCCCACGACGCTGTTGTAGAATCTGGTGAGGTTGTTCGGCGGACCCCGGATGTGTATATCGTTGTGGCGAATGACCAACGCTTTGGTCTCGTTTCGAAGCTTTTTGTTGACAAACTGGAGCTGGTTGGCGACCACATGTCCATTCACTCTGACCGGTCCTTGGTGTATCGTCTTCTTGGTGTCTGACACTGGCTTGTTGGTACTCAGATTCGTCTCTGAGATTTTTCGTCGCTTCCTCATGGGAGCGTCATCATCCGACTCTTGAACACGACCTACTGGTGCGGGGGTTTCGCTAAATCTTTCTACGTCTTCTTCAAATGTTCGAGGATGGAGACATAACCAACCCACACCCAGTTTGTCCTCGCGATAGAAGATTCCCTCATCGATGGTGAGTGCGTATTCGAAGATCTTGTTGCGAAGCTCGCCGGGTAGTCGAATAAGGTGTGATTCTACCTCTGTGTTGCGCACAGGGGTTTCAGTATGCTTCGCTGACATCTTGTCGTGTAACCGAAGAATACAGTTCTTAAGGGATACTGCAGTCGATTTTTCGCGTGCTTGGGGAGACACACAAGCTAGTTGGGGAGGTAGGTGGTAGGTGAAGTGAAATGAATTGTGGCAGTAGCTTTAGAGAGGCAGGAGCTCGTGAAAAGTCCCTGCTTCGGACGCCATCTCCACTTCGCAGCCATTTTGCATCTAAGCAAGTGAGAGGAAGGAAGATCTGCTGGATTTCCTCTTCATACGCGATGATTCGCTGTAACCCGTTAATCGCATGTTATGGTAGTGGTGGACTAAGCGACCAAGCATAGAGACCGAATGAAATGTGTCGAGTATACAAGTCCACTGGTATTTGCCTGATCAGTACCAAGGTTGGAGAGAAGGCAACTGCGCCTTGAGACGAAGCGCAATAGAACCTTCTTTGGAACATGACGTCCATTCATCCAGCCTGCGGCACTCGTCGCTTCGACGGTCGGTGCAGCATGTGGCAATAGAGTTCGCAAAATCCATGGGTACTACCTGCGAAACTCACCGCCGCCGCGATGTCTACCCAGGTGATTTCCAGGCCTGGGGAAGGAACAACGGCCTTGGAAGATTGATGGTCGATAAGGGAGGGAGGAATGACGTGTCAGCACCAATCACGATCTCCGCAACCCAGCTTACCACGCGCAGCTTTAGCGCGATTCATCAACCTCGGCATACCTCCACATTATAGCATTCCACGACCGAGCCGCAACCCGAGCTACTACTAGATCAACCCCAGACTCCGCCCGTGATCACTTCTATCGCATCACCATAGCCATACTCACCTGCTCCCTCACCGACAAATCCCTCCAAAAGCCCAAAACTAAGCGCGACCGTCGCAACCTCCCTCTCGTATTTCAAACGCCGAAGTACCTCTCCTCCATTGCCGTCGCGCCGCCGCTGCCGAAACGCGTTCATAAGCCCACCATGTCCGAGTCTCTCACCACCAAGCAAGTCGCCGAGCACAACACAGTCGAGAAGGGACTGTACATAATAGTCGACAATGATGTATACAAGATGGACTCGTTTGTGGACGAGCACCCCGGTGGCGCTAAGATCCTGAAGAGAGTCGGTGGAAAGGATGCTAGCAAGCAGTTCTGGAAGGTACGTTATAGCCACCACACGGAAGAGGCGAGAGGACAGGAATGCCTGGGACAATTTGCTACGCGCGGTTTTCCAGGGCCGGATTTGCTGTTGCGCGCTTGGTCTTGGTACCACCGCGCTGATGGTACTCGGTGCTCGGTACCAGCGGAATCATGGCAGACTGGACCCTTGATTTGATCATCGAAAGCGCCTTATCGCACATGAAGTTTGGATTTGCTGACCAAGACACAGTACCACAACGAGAGCGTATTGAAGAAGTACGCACCTAAGCTCAAGATTGGCACAGTCAAGGAGGAGTCCAAGTTATAGATACACATTTAATTATACCAATCATCACCATTCAATTCACTTGCGTTGCACGTCGCCTTGTATATCGCGCATGGAATACCCAATTCATGAAGAAATGCGATGCCA